AGGAAAACAAACTCATGCCGAGGGGGATTATGGGATGTCGTTTGGAAAACACCTCTCAGAGTCTGAGGGGGTCTTTGTGTAAAACCAAGGTTTTAAAAGGATTTAAGGAATTACATTTTTAAAAACACCCTGATCATTTATTTATGAAGCATTTATTTATGAAGCATTTATTTATGAAGCATTTATTTATCTGTCATTATTCCCCTTTCACGTCGCCCGCCCATCTCATTGTGAACACGATATCTTCAGAGCTTCTTGACGGAATTTGTTCTAATTTGGCGAAAACGTTCCCTTGGACTCAGAGATGAAGTGATTCGATTTTGGAGGTCAAAGGTCAAAGGGAATAACTTGTTTGTAGAACGACACTGCTCCGGTGGAAGGAGGCAAACAACCAAGCTAAGACAAATGTTATGGGACAGTTAGATTTCTTTGCTTATTCTTTAATGACGTTCTGACATGAGGCCACTTTTTATTTCAGATGTTTATGAGTACTGTCTCATAATTCATGTAACGTCAACAACAAATATACGAATACTTCTATAATCAGTGAACTGTGTTCTCTTCATGTAAAGTAAACCCTTGTTCTTCAGGACTGAAGCTGCTTTAAATCATAAATCAGTTTTACCGCCTGTGATTATTTTGTCGTTGTTCACAGTTTATTCCTCAGTAGATCGTCGTGTGGTTACATCGTTGGCAGCGTCGACCTATAAACACTCGACTCCACACATTCAGCACATTATGGAGATTATCGGCGAGAAGCTCGGGGCTGAGAGCGGCTCTGGAGATGAATCCTTCTTGTATGTGGAATATGACACCAGACGATCTGCAATCAGTTTGGAAAAAGCCTGTGGCCTGAGATAATTAGGAGCAGGGAGTTTCTGTGGGTTTGTTACGTCTCCCAGTGGAATCAGGACAAGTAGAAATGTGTCGACACGTGTGGATCAGAAACCAGAAACCACCAGAGGTGACGGCTCCTCGTGGTTTTCGACTGAATGTTAAATATGCAGCCGTCTTTCTTCGGGGTTTCGATTCCCAACTCAGGACACAACAACACGTCGCTAAGGTTTGGTAATAAGACATTTATTTTCCAACAATAACAAAGAACAACATATTTTAAAAGCGTATTCGTATGTTACATCGACTGTACAGGGATCAGATGAGCGTGCTTCACCCTAAGTGATTCTGGAACAAGCGCTAACAAGAAGAAGAAGAAGGTCAACTAGGAACATTTAAGTCATTTGATGAAAAAATATGAAATCGTCCATGTCTAGGTAGAAAATAGAAAAGAAGCAGATTATGGATTGATATTATACCCTGATACAGTGTTTAGGCCTCTGAACAAAGTCACTCACAACAACAGCGAAACCTCGTGGCCTCTTTGGTTCATGATTCCGTATAATACATTTGAACGCAGCTCCTTTTTTTGCTTCTATAAAAATATTATTTTACTATTATTCAATGGCAGTTTCCATTTCTTTTTATTTGTACTAGTCACACACGTCCTCAGTGCAAATATTCTAACAACCGTTCGCTTCGAAGAACAAGCGAAAGATTAGAGTGGCGAGCGAGGACGGCGAGACGAGGAGGTCGAGGGCAGAGCGTTCCAGGAGGACAGGCTGGAAAGTGTGTCTCTAAGTGTGTCTCGAGGTCTGTCTCTAAGTCTGTCTCTAAGTGTGTCTCTAAGTGTGTCTCAAAGTCTGTCTCGAAGTCTGTCTTGAAGTGTGTAACGGTGCCAAGCGGCTCTGACAGGAAGTCCACCGGGACCAACGATCGCACGCTGATGGTTCTTAGCCATCGTCAGACTTTTCATTTCACCTCGACAACAAAAACTTACTGCGGTTTCAAACTTTTCTTAAAATGTAATTCACCTCATCAGCGTTTGGGGAAATGATTTATTCTTATTCTTTACGATGGACAAAAAGAGACATATTAAATATTGAAGAATTTAGTTTGTGATGTTTTGTCAGATAAACCACGACAGTGTTTAGACTTTTTGCTGTTTTTACATTTTAAAAATCAAATCCTTAAATCAACGTTTGATTTTGAAATATTCAACTAGAAACGATCTTTTCGAACCTGTGAGTCTTCGTCTGATTCCCGCTGTGTCCTGAACGCTAATGACGTCATTTTCAGGATGTTTACGCGTCGTCACTCGTGGTCGGACGCACTCGGTTGTTCAATCATTGATCCTGGACGTCCCGGCTCTTGGGCTCCTCCTCCTGCCTCCCGCTTCAAACCCGCTCGCCACTCGTACATTTCAAGTATTGGAGATAGTTTGTCACTTCAGCTTGTCTGGTGTTCGGGTAAATACTATACATTGCATAGCTCATGCGGCACTTTTTTTTTGAAGGACCGTGGGCGGCGGAGCGCCACTTAGGGCTCGTTAAAGGCATCTCAATCTGCTAAGTGCTATCGAAGTGTGCGTCGGGGGAAGTGCGAAGCCGCAGCATCACTGAACCGAGCAATATGGCAACTTTTCACTTTTAATGAGAGATGTGGTAAATCATTTCTAAATGGAGTGACTGGAGGGAATCGAACCCCCGACCCTCAAACAAAGACAATGTGATATTTGTTCCGAGCGGACGGGTGGTGTCAGATTAAACATTGGTTATAAATAAAGATGGACGACATGACAACTCCTGAAAGTGAAGCCAAATCATCTTGATCGCCCCCTGGTGTCTGGCTGCAGTGTAGCTCATAAACCTCCTCCATGTTAGCAGATGGGACATGAACCAAATCAGAGGTTGTTAAAGATGGTTTCTGTCATTTTACGTGTTTATGTTTCCAATCAGTTTCAATCAGTTATTTGATGATATAAAAAACAGGCGTCATGATTGACAGCTGACACTGACCCCTGATTGGTCGAGAGCATGTTACAAGATGGCAGCCGTCGTATTGGAGACGTCTCAGCTTCACTTCTGAATCTTAAGAGGAAGTGAAGACGCGTCGTCCATCTTTATTTACTCTACGTGGCTGAATCATTGTAAAGCTCGCGGTGAGTTGGATCTTGTATCTGGCCGCGGTTCGTCTTCAGCTTTATTAAAGACGAGTCACCGCTGTCGTCCAAAATCCAAGTGATGGTTTCATTTGATGGTTAATTCTGTAATTTGAGGGCCGACGTTGTTTTAGGAGAAATAATCGAATCGTTCTGCAGATTCCTAACACAAGATTATCGTGGCAACAAACTTTCATGATGCTGGAAGCAGGAATCCGATGAGGAGTTGGGATGAGACGGAGAATTGACGTCGTCGTACGTTCACGTCTGCCTGTAGTTGAACGTTTGGAGGACTGATTAGTGGTTTGGCGACTTGTTGAAAAGTCTCGTCTGAACGTTCTGCTTGAAGCCGTTTAATCGCGGAACAGTTTGTGTGAATCAGAAAACAGAAGTGCTGTACGTTGGTGAAGACGGCGTCAGTGCTCGTCCCGAGTGTTCGCCGCACACACTCATCTTGAAAGAGGCATCGCTGAATCAGCCCGATGTCGTTGTGACTCGTTTAAGGCTCCCGACAGCTTTACGTTGACCGGCAGCAGCTACTCTAACAGCGAGGCCGACGGCTCGGTAAAGGCTAGAAGGTCGTGAAACAAAGCAGATCCTCGCTATCGAAGATTTAATGAAGAACTTCGGACGCTGATTGTTTTTCCAAAGTGGATTTTTAGCGATTTGGAATCAAACTTCTCCGTCCGAAGGAGACTGAATTGTTTCCGCTGGAGAATATAACAAAAATATATCAACAAACATAAATATATATACAAGTTGTTTTGTGCAGGCATACATGAGGGTGTGTGGATATGTGTGGATGAGGTTGTGTGTGCTCATGTTTTCTTCCGTCGTCCATAAATATTCTGTTTCTATATTCATCTCCTGTTGTAATATCGTGAATCTGTCTACGGTCGAGTTCTTCAGTTCCACCTTAAATAAACGGGAGTTAGCGGCGCTCAGGCGCAGCCGCACTCCTCCACGATCATGTTGGGAACGTCCCGTTTCACGATGTTGTACTCGTCGTCGAAGTAGAGCATGGACATCGTGCTGAGCTTGGTGGGGATGCAGCAGGAGTTCATGGAGCCCGGGCTCATCCCTCTCATGCGGTACTGGTTCACCACCGCCGTGTGAAAGGACGATGCAGAGTTGGGGACACCGGCCATGTAGGCGGGACAGTTCCCTTCGCAGTAGTTCCCAAAGTAGCCTGACGGCGCAATGATCCAGTCGTTCCAGCCGATGAGCCGGAAGTCAATGTAGAACTGCTGGCGGCAGCACAAGTTGCTGCTGCCGTCGCACTCCAGCCCCCTCTTGCGGATCCGGTGTTTGTTGTCGGCTTGCCGCGCCTGCACCACCAGGAAGGGCCGGTGGGACTCGTCGTTGCGGTTGAGCAGGATGGGGTTAACGCCCTCCGCCTCGCAGCCCTCGCAGCGCACGTCCAGGTTCTGCCGTCGGCCGCCCTTCTCGAACACCAACCGCACGGCCTCGGTCAGCATGAAGGTGTGCCAGCCGCTGCGCTTCAGCTCCACCCGCTTCTCCACTAGGTTCCACTTGCTGCTGAGGCCCGGCTCCTGGTAATACACCTTCACCGTCACCTTCCGCCGCGGACGCACCTCCCCTGGGGACGGCAGCAGCTTGAAGTAGAGCCAGAGGGTGGCCTGTGTCACAAACAGGTTCTGGTTCCCCTCGCTGGAGATCAGGAAGAACAGGCTGGACTTGGAGGTCACCAGGTCGTCTGGGGAGGAAGAACACAGCAGAGCCAGGGATTAACCACAGGAACCAAACATTTCATTTTAAAACAACAGCTCAAAGTCACAGACCCTGTGGCAGTGACAGGAAGCCGTTGGGTCGGAGACTGAGAGAGCGGTGCAAAGGTTCAAATTCAGATATGGATCCTAACAGTGTCCACAGTTCACATCAGGAGACGCAGCAACAAACTGGACCCAAGAAAAAAACTTTGTCAGAAGCTGCATCTGCAAACGATCAGAGGCTTTTATTTTGGTAACCAGCAGCTGCTCAGGATAAGATTAAAATCTGAAATCTCTGTTTTTACAGAAGAAAACCAAACATCGGTTTTTATCTGAGCTGCTTCCAGTGGGTTTTGTATTTTATCTCTTTTTACTTTTGCATGATTCGCTTTAACTCTGCAGTCGTGTGAACGTCTGAGTAGTTTGATGAAACACTGAAGCAACAGCTCAGCTCTTTATCTTGAAACCTGGAAACTCTTTGATTCTATCCAGCGAGTCACATGACGTCCTGCAGCCGCACCAGCTGATTGACAGCTGCCAGGTCGAAGAAGACTCGACTCATTCATCAGGTCTGAACCTCCTGAACTCTGAGCGAAGCCGACTGAGAGAAACTGAGATTGACAGTTGGTGAGAAGTCAAGAGGACACAGCGTCCAGCGGATGAACTCCAGATTTCACGGCTGAGCGGTTGCGCTCCGCAGGGTTCTTCAGCGGGAGAAGATGGAAGCTCTCACGGAGCAAACAGAGAAGTTTTCAGAGGGAGCGCGGCGAGCCTCCACATGCATTACCTCATCCGTCACGAGACGAGGTAATCTCCGAGCCATTACTCAGCAGCTCGGATGTGAGATCACACGCCGCTGCTCAACAGGCCTGCAGATTAGAGCGCCGCTGTCATCCCGGCAGAAAACAAATCAAGAGCGATACAGTTAAGTGCCTGCGCAACGCAAACAAAGCTGCAGTCCCGGCCGCAGGTGCAGGTTTCATGGGTGGTGCTCGTCTGTCACCACCTTTTCTATCAAACTGCACTTGCTCACTTACTCTAAACTGCAGGGATCAAACACGACAGCTCAAACGGCCGCGCTGTGGATGTAAACAAACGCTCCGTCGCCTGAAAGCGCCGGCGGCTGTCGGGGGAGCGGCCTCGATGAGACGCAGGAGGACGGTTAAGACGACCAGCTGCAGCGTCCTCACATGACGGTGAGATGACGTCCGCCGGCTCCACAGAAACGTCGACTGTGTCTGCCATCGATAGAGACGATCGGTTCAGACACACAGCAGCTGCTCGACTTCACACCGAGCAAATATTTATGTCTTGTTTTCTCTCTGTGAATGTTTAGCGAGGACGGAGAGTGCCGTAAATAAACTGTGAGGCAGCAGCGACGAGGTTGTGAAACATGCGAGTCACTTTCCAGCAAAGGGAATAAATCTGATCGAGAAGTAAAAGAGTCCATTTGTGCTGAAAGCTTCATGTTGAAAACCTGCAGCTGCTGATTGAACAAATCTGAGGAGAGGGAAACACTGACTCCTCTTCTGACTCCTCTTCTGACTCCTCTTCTGACTCCTCTTTGTGTTTCTGCAGAAAATATGTGATATTTAATCATCGTCATGAGAACTCACAGCCTCTGAACTCAAACCTGTATGTTCTTTATTCTGAAGCTCAGTTTAACAGAAAACTCTGAATATAAGATTCAACGTTTCGACTCTGTCGTGTGTTTCGGTCGTTTTAAAAATTGAAAAACTAACTTTACTCTCAATCATGTCCAAGAATTTTAAATGAGGTTCAAGGATCCATCGGTTAAATGAAACTAAACCTCAGCTGTGGAGCTTTAACACAGATAAGTTCACGTACTCGACATTAAAGACAACACACGTGAGGACGAGACTGTGAGACCCGGTGATGACGCTGCACCACAGCTGCTGCACAGACCCGGAGTCTTCACTGTTTCAAGTCCTTTAGAGCGAAACTGAGCCGACGAGGACCTGAAGCGTCGAGAGCTCCAGAAAACAACAACAACACAACTCGACCAACAGAACCAACACAAATCTTTGATTCAGCAAAAACTGTGACGTGTTTCTGAATGAAACTAACAACCTAACCTTTATGGAGCCTGGAGTTAGAACACACACTCACACACACACACACACACACACACTCACACACACACACACACACTCACACACACACACACAGGGAATTCTAATGGGGAGCGAGGCTTCAGAGTTCAGGCCGTCAATCTGCATTCAGGCTGCACGACGACTCACACAAAAGCTCTGACCTTATACTGAGGGGACTGATTCAACACAACCCTGTCATTTACACACACACACACACACACACACACACACACACACTTTAAGAAACACTAATAACAGTCAACGACGTGACAGACGACCCTACAACTCGACCGGGGACAACTGACACAGATGACGACAGTGAGGACACAGAGCAGCAGTGTGGACGAGCAGCAGCCATTTGTGGATGTGGAAAGCAGATGTTTCCGTGGAGCGCCGTCGCTTTCAGAGGCGAGCGGACAGACGCACGTGGGCGAAGCAGGTGGCGTCGTTGATCATTTTCAGCCCTGCTCCTTTCAGCCTCCCCTGAGTAAATTGTTCCTCTGAGCCTTGACGCCACGCCATGTCCCCACTGGCAGCCGCTCAGCGCCGGCAACGCAGCCAACTGGCAAACGCACGACGCCGAGGTGGAAGGTCTGCAACACAGCAGCCACAGAGAGAAACATGGGAAACTAAAAGCCTCCCAGCAGGGAGCGAACCTCCGGCGACACCGAGCGAAGCCAGCCGGGTCTCTGTTTGTGTGATGCTGTGTTTTCTAGGAAAGTGAACACAACACTGGGGAAAGAGCCAGGAGTCCCAGATGTCTGATTTTCTCTCAAGCACGTGAATGCAGCAGAGCAAGTTCATGCAGAAGAGTCAAAGTCTCTTTTCAAAAGTAAAAGTTTTACATCCGCATCCCATCACGGCAGACAAACAGAGAAACTGTGCAAGCTCCTTCAGCTCATCAGTGTGAGAACACACAGCTTTAACATCAGCCCCTCATGACAGACTGACTGACCCTGGATCTGCAGGATTCATCTCACACCAGGGACAAACTGAGTCACACTGGAAAGACACCTCATAAAGATCAATGACGCGTCCAATATACGGCAGGAAAGAGTTTCTCCATCTGTGTTCAATCATCCCCACTGATCACTGATCCAGGACCATAACAGAGCTCAAGCGTCTCTAAACAAAGCAGGTAGCAGCTACACATGCTCTCTGCTTTTATTTTGGCGGGTTTTCAGGCCCCTGCATCAACATCTGTTCAACATCAGCCTGTCTCTCACTCACACACACACACACACTCACACACACACACACACACACTCAGAGTTCACTGTGTCCCTGGTTCACCAGTAACATCAAATATCCCAGACTCTGAATTTAATGAAGACTAACGTGTGTTTGAACCTGTCGTTAGAATTCAGACTCATGTTGACTCAGTGTGTGTGTGTGCGTGTGTGTGTGTGTGTGTGTGTGTGTGTGTGTGCGTGCTGCAGCTCTCAGTTGTGTTTAATCTTCAGATCGATCCTGTGAACCTTCTCTGAGGATCCACAGTTTCTCATGTGACTACATGTGAAGCTGGAATCTGTTTTTACTTGTTTTGCTTTGTTTTTGGGGGAAAATGTGAATTTCTGGTTTGAAACTTTCAGATTAAACTTTGAGTTTCTTCTCTGTCACGAACCTTTCTCTGCAAAGCTGATGATCTCGGAGCTCTCCTCCAGCACCTCGTTGCTCATCGGGTGTCCGTCCAGGTTGGGGATCTCCACCCTCCCGTCCTCCCGCAGCTTCCCGGCGTGCAGCTTCCGCAGCGCCGTCACCATGGCCGCCTTCGGGACCGGGTGCGTGATGTTGGGCCTGTCCCGCATCTGCAGCCGGCTCAGGATGTGCCTCTTCACCGCCTCCAGGAAGTCCACGTTCACCCGGCCCGACTCGGGGTCCTCCGGCTGAGCGATGCCGCAGGACGCGCAGGTATCCCGGGACGCCGTGTGCGCCTCCGCCTCGGTGCCGGGCGCAGCGGTGCAGCGGATGGAGAGGACGCAAGCCACGAGGAGTGCCAGTCTGAAGAGACAGCTACTCATTTTCTGTTTGAGGAGGAGAAGAATCACGGTTTCCCTCTTGTGTTGGAGTTAAAATCATAAAATCGGCTCTGAACAGGTAGAAGGCTCCTCTAGTGCCGAGCTGTCTCCATGCGTAACGGCGCTCCGCTCGGCTCTGACGCACTTGGATGCAGGTCGGTGCAGTTTATGTCCATCCAGGGGAAGAAGTGTGAGCAGGAACTCTTCTCTTACATGGTTCCATGAGTGTCTTTGGGGATTCTCTGCCTCACACGCCTCTCTGTCCTCCGGACTCTGTGCGCCTCTGGAGTTTGGAGCAGCAGCAGCTTCACGCGCAGCGCAGCAGCTCAGAGGAGCAGGAAACACGAGCCACAGTTATCAACGTTCTCCACGAACCCGAATCCACCTGGAGCATCTTCAAACTTCAGTCCATCACTTTCTGATCCACAGACACGAGCAGCTCATCATCACCATCACCATCATCATCATCCTCTGAGGTTCAGTCCAACCGGAGCTGAGTGTGACTCCCGCTCTGCCGGAGTGCCGATGCGCAGTGAAGAAGAAGATGAGGAGGAGGAGGAGGAGGAGGAGGAGGAGAGCCAGTGCCAGAGAGAGCACCGAGCAGAGTTTCCATCCTGACTGAGACTCTGCAGCCTCCTCTCTCTCTCCTCCGCTTTATATCAGGGCTCAGCCTCAGGTGGGCGCGGCCAATCAGGAGCCGCAGAGGGAGGGAGGGGGCGGGGCTCGGAGGTCTTCTGAAATTAACAATCCAGATTATGATCCAGATTATGATCCTGGAGACAGAAGAGTTAGTTTATCCAGATTACAACCAGTAATATTACACAGCTCCATTACAACCACAGGAGCTCCATGAAGTATTTTACGGAGAACATGTACTTTTATTTGGAGAAGTTACAGTTTATTCAGATTATTACAAAGTTTTACTGTATAAAACACAGATTACACAAAGTAAAACTACGATTACAGCGACACTCATATCAGACAGCAGCTGTAAAAAGTACTTTTCTCTTTATCTGGAGACGTTTATTCAGATTAATACTTCAAATCAGTTTCTAGGAATCAAATACTACAAATATTCAGACAAAGGATCAGTTTCCCTTTAAACGCAAATGTTTCATGTTTCAGATTCGAGTAAACCAACAACAATGATATTCGTAAAATAAGATTTATTTTATTCTGAGAAGTTCATTCAACAATATCTAAAGTTGTCAGATCCAAGTCGTCGTAACTCACGTCAGGCAGGAGCTGTGAAAAGTATTTCATCTGGAGAAGTGACAGTTTATTCAGATGATCACTGAAGGATCAGTTCCACTGCTTCAAATTTAAAAGTCAACACAACCTGTCAAGTGAAAGAACCGTCACAACATTTCTCTTCCAGTCGTTGCTCTACATTTAAAATCCTCTTAAAGTTTTTTAAATTTGTATTTTAACTGTTAACAAGTCAAATGAAATGGGTTATACGGCTGTTTATTGTACTAATGAACATTATTTCTACTTAAACCTAATTTATCTATAAAAACTGAAATATTTGAATCAGTGTCGTATTCTAAAAGTTAATAGGATATGTGTATTTTGTAAAATAGTGTAATACTGTAATTTGAGGTAGTACTTCATGTACCTGTAACTGCAACGTGGCTCAATATGAAACTGTCTTAAATGTGTTTAATTCTTATTCAAACCCATTAATCATCATTATATTCTTAAATCTGCTTCTTTTGGAGCTTTTATTCTGACATCAGGCCCAAACACAAAAAACAGCAACAATTCAAATGAAACTTTATTTTGAGTGTGTTGACGCTCAGGTGAAGCACAGAACACACACCTGAGAGTGTGACGCATCGAGACACGTGGAAACCACAGACATCTGATCCTCTGAGTGTTACTGTGGCCACAAGTGTGTGGACACTTGAGCATGATTCCTCAACACGTGTTGTCTGCAGACTTCTGGTTGAAAAATATTGTGATTACACACACACACACACACACACACACACACACACAC